TGAGTTACGCAAGGAGAGGGGCGACGTCTCTCCTCACTCCGCCGGACCCGGTTGCCTTGCTAGCAATCGATGTCACTACCGGGGAGCATGCGTTAGTCGCTGATTCTCGTGCTACGTACGAGGATTATGCCGCCCAGCTGGTACCACCATTAGACCAGCCAAGCCACGTGCACTTAGCTAGCGTATGCGCAACCTGTACACCGTCGGCAAGTGATCCGGTCAGTTCGCCACTGATTTCCGAGGACTCGACGGCGTGGGCAAGACTTGAGGAGCTTGACCCGCTCACGAGAGAGGACTTCGCCTGGATGCCTCCACCCTCGACCGGAACCTTGCCAAGGCCGCATTGCAACGCCTTGATGGCAACTCTACGCTCCTATTTGCACACTATAGTACCAGCTCCGTTGACGGACGACGGGGTAGCGGTTGTCGATCTCCGCTCCTATCTTGCGAAGATTGACCGCGAGCATGCCACCCAAAGGTACGCTGAAACCGACGCACCTTTGCTCTATATCCGCATTCAAATCGGAAAGGCAACCTGTAGTGCCTTGATTGATTGCGGAGCGTCTCGCAACTTCATGAGTCAAGCCTTTATGGCCCGCGCAGGTCTTGGCCCGCGCGTTCGAAGAAAAACGCAACCTACGCAAGTTACACTCGCGGACGGCCACACGCAAAAGTCAATTGACCGATGGGTTGACGGCGTTCCGGTCTACTTTGCGCCACTTGCGTGCGAGCCGGTGTCTTTTGACATCCTCGACACCAAGTTCGACATGATTCTAGGCATGTCTTGGTTGCGTAGCGCCGATCATCCGGTGAACTTCCATGACCGAGCCGTTCACATCCGTGATCGGAACGGAGTGTTAGTCCCATGTGCGGTCGCGACCCCTCACACTTCGATTGCTTGTCACGTGGTTTCCGTTGCGCGGATTCGCGACGCCATTGCTCGGAATGACGTCGAGGAGATGGGCCTTGTATTCTTGCATGCTCTCCCCTCGCCGGACGGACCAGCTGCGTCACCGCCGGACCCACGCATTTCTAACCTCTTGGACGAGTATAGAGACGTCTTCGAGGCTCCCACCGGAATGGTTCCGGATCGGCCCATACGTCACGGGATCACTCTCGAGGCTGGCGCCGTCCCTCCGCGTGGATGTATCTACCGCATGAGCGAAGAGGAACTCGAGGTGCTTCGCGCACAGCTCGATGATCTTCTCAACAAGGGTTGGATTCGCCCTAGTTGCTCGCCATACGGAGCACCTGTTCTCTTCGTCCGGAAGAAGAACAAAGATCTACAGTTATGCATCGACTATTGGAAACTTAACGCACAAACCGTAAAGAACGCCGGCCCTCTCCCTCGGATTGATGATCTCCTTGAGCGGTTAGGCGGCGCGACGTACTTCTCGAAGTTGGATCTGAAGTCAGGCTACCACCAGATTGAAATCCAGCCTCAAGACCGGTACAAGACCGCGTTCAAGACGCGGTATKGGCATTTTGAGTGGGTTGTCATGCCRTTTGGCCTCACCAATGCCCCCGCTACGTTTCAAGCAGCAATGACGACTGAGTTTCGCGACTTGCTCGATCGCAGCGTCCTCATTTACCTTGATGATATTTTGGTCTACAGCAGGACGTTGGACGAGCATATCATACACCTTCGCATTGTCTTGAATCGTTTGCGACTAGCCAAGTACWAAGCGAATCTCGACAAATGCGAATTCGCCAAGCAAGAGCTTGAGTACTTGGGCCATTTTGTCACGCCGAAAGGCATTCGTCCCTTAGCGGACAAGATCCAAGCCATCGTGGATTAGCCGGAACCCCGTTGCACGACGGATGTACGCTCTTTCATGGGATTGGCTGGATATTATCAGCGTTTCGTCGAGTCATACTCGAAAGTGGCCGCTCCTTTGTCGAGACTTCAGTCCCCGAAGGTGCCCTTYVMRTTCRACGACGCAGCCCGTGGCGCGTTCACTACGTTGAAGGCAGCGATGCAAGCCGCACCTGCCCTCCGTATATACGACCCCACCCTACCCACCCAAGTGACTACGGACGCTTCGGGATACGGTATTGGTGCGGTGTTGGAA